TTTTAAATAGAACGACTCTTTCCTGTATTAGATTTTTTTTTTTTTTTTGAGAATAAAAACTGCTAGATATGTTTCTTTCGTCCGATCGTTAGTTACCACTTTGATAATTCCAAGCTTCTGGGTCTGTCGTGTCATAATCTTTGTTGAAACATGATTTGAATATTATTTGAATGTTGTTACAAACTTTCTTTAACTTTTTTATAAAAGATTTTAATCAAGTTCAATAATTAGATGTGCAAATGAGTTGAGTTGAATTTGACTTAACTTGAATAATTAATTAAGTTTGAACTTGAGCTTGAGCCTAATTATATGAGCCATTGGCCAATAAACCGGCTCATTTATTATGAATAAATAAAATAAGTTTGATGGAAGTAATTGTCATTATAAAATAATAAAAATAATAAATTAGCGGAGAAATAGTTGCAAATCTCATCATAAAAAAAAATTGAAATATAAAATTCTTAAAATTTATAGCAGCTTAGTACTCAAATTGTCAAATGATGATATTATTTGAGCTTAATATACAATAACATATCTAAGGAGTTGACACATGACCTATCGAGTCCATTAGAGGTTAGTTTAGGCTTGACTTGTTTCATGAGCCATCTATCGAGCCAAGCTCTAACCAGCCCAGCAGTCAGCTTGACTCTTAAGATGAATCATCAAGGCCATGGAATTTAAATTTGCTAATCAAACCACACACACACACACACACACACACACACATATATATATATATATAAGCCTTACCCAAGAGCTTGGTCAAGAATTATTCTTAAGATTAATGCTAATTTGCATATGAAAACATAAACATGTAAAATATAAGCCTCTTATGTGAATATGCATTGGCTATAGCTCGACATCATAATGACAATTACAACTTTTGCTAAAAAAAATTAAGCATAAAGTATGATTGGATGCGTATGATGAAAATATATATTCAATAGCAAATGAGAACACTTGATAAATGAAGAAAGAGCATTGGCATACTACCTCTAATGGTAAAATGGAAGAGTGGTAGTCCAAAAGGAAAAACAAAAGAAGTCATCCTAACGGGAAGGAGAATATTTTGCAATGATGTAGTTGACTTGGGGTGAAAGGTCATCATAGAGTTAGTTTTAGGCTAAATGTTTGGCACTATCATGATAACTTTTATTTTTTTCCATTATTATAGTTGCAACATTATAATTGTATTTAATGTTAGAAGCTTTCCTTTCACTTTTGGATAATTCATTCATAGTTTCTATAAGTATTACTTAATCTATGGTTCAATTTAATAAAATTATTGGATTATTATTATTGATTGGTTCAACTCGATATTAAAATGATTATTATTGTGATGGTAAGCTTTTACATGTTAAGCTCCAAAAGATTCAAACTGCTATAGTATTTATTGCAATATAGTTTTGTAACATCAGTGCACAATCGTGGCCTGTTGGAAGATGGCCTAGCATAAGTCCCATTTGTCACGGGTTTAAATCGCCCCAGAGTTGAATTAGCACATATGAGAAACCGGTATTTAGGAGACGATTTAGTCTGGTCCTAAATACCGATTCCTTCATTAAAAAAAAAAACCTATATTTATAACATTATTTGAAGAAGTTCAAATTTTATTTGGACATGATTTGAAACTTATTTCAAATTCTTCTCAAACTTAGTCTGAAGCTTGTCAAATATCATTCAAACTTTATTCGATTGTTTTTCAAAACTGGTTCAAGCTTGAGTTATAACGAGTTTGATGAAAGTTCAAACTAAGGTTTGAAATTGATCCAAATTGAACCAATTTATTCAAGACAAACTTCAACAAGCAAGTAGGATATAATAGACTACTTTGGTCTGAAATGAATTTTTGAATATATTTTATTGGAAAAAAACAAACATAGATATATTTTAACAATGACTATTATGAGGCACATAAAGTCAATTTTCTTATGCATTTTTATTGCTTTTTTTAGACACTTGTAGAATAAGTCATTATTGAAGATAATAAAATAATGATATTAAATTATCTTATAGTCAATAAAAATATTAATTTTTAATGAAATTTTGTTTTGAAAAAATTTTTTTAATTTTTAAAAAAAAAAAAAAAAAAAAAAAAAATCCTACTTATTAAGCATCATTTATTAGATAAGCATGTGCCCCAAGCATATAAAAATAACTACCTTTTAAATTATTTTTTTAAGTTAATTAAATTTTTTTTTATATTCTAATATAAAATAACATAAATTTTTATTTTTTTTAATGCATTTATCATCAACCTCCTCTCATTCACCCCTTTTTCTTCCCCTAACTTATGAAATCTCTCTAGCTACAACCCTATCATAGCAACCATAGCCCTCTCTCTAACTTATACAAGCATTTACATGTCTTAACACCTGAAATTTAATATTTATATTTTTACCATTTTGTTGCCACAAACATATGTTGTAATATTAAATATTTGAGCGTTATGTATGTAAATATGAAAGTCTAGGCATTATATATAAATACATAAAAATTGTATGGCATGTCCATAAATACCCTTTTTTAATCTCTTTTAATATTTGCTCCTCAATAGTATATAATACATTGAAAATTTTATCTCTTTAACTTAAATACTTGATAATTTAATATTAAGAATATTTTTAATTTATAATGATATTTATAAAAATTTTAAAATTTCTTTAAGATGAAAGTCTTAAACTTAAATACTCACCACCCTTTAATTTCTTTATTTGCCATCCCTTAAGTTTTCATTCCACCATTGCACATATACCCCTCACTTATTATGTATTTACTTAATAGCTAAATTTTACTTTCTACACTTCTATCACTCTAATCTTTTATATCACATAAAAAATTACTATTTTAACTTTTTAAAAGTGAAATTCAATATGAAATATATATAAAAAATTCAAATTTAGGTGTAATATGTTTTTTTTTAAAAGATGGTTGACGGGCAGAACCACCAACCACCCTCTGATACCTTTTCATATGCAAGCACTATCTAAAGGGACTATATGAATTTATAAAGTGTAATCCCAAAAAATTTCCAACTTATCTAAAGTTTTCCGACCTCTATAGACTTTCACATCATGAGTTGTTTGCATAAAACTAGTATTTTTTATGAGAAGAATAATTTGATAGAAAATGGAGGCCTATTTGACATCATTTTTTGACAACCCCAAATATAATTCATAAACATTCTTGAAAATGTTTGTATGTATATCTATCTAATCATAAAAAAACTTTGATATATCAACTCCGCTAAACTCGTAGCATAAATATCTATAAGATCATTCTGACTGACTCACCCATCATCTATAGGTCCTAAAATCCTACACTTACACAAGAGTGTTTGTGCTATCTCAACTTACCATCACCTTTGGTTCATGCAATTCCCCTTCTTTTTAAAATAGATGTTACCCCAAGTTGCCAATTTTGTAACATTATGTTTGTCGTCATCATCTGTGAGAAAAAGGCTAATCCGATCATCCACAATCACTACCATAACATGTTTGTGTCACCTCATATGTTGGTTTCGTGTCATGACATCTCCATGTCATAAAAGAGGATGATCCATCCCATTGCAATTGCTTGTTTTCACCTATACTAACATTGCGCCTTCAAATTTGAAAAAAAATAAAAAGAAAACAATCATTTGTGACACACATTCACTACTAAATCAAATTATTTCCATCCCATTGCAATTGCTTGTTTTCACCTATACTATTATTGCTCCTTCAAATTTGAAAAAAACAAAAAGAAAACAATCATTTGTGACACGCATTCACTACTAAAGCAAATTATTTCACATTTAGAAGAATGGCCTAATGATTTGATGTCGACCTTATAAATTTATATATATATAAGTGATCGCTATAAAACAAAGAATTATTTTTCACTACTTGGACATAGGGCTATCAAAACGACCCGTTGTTCGCAAACAGCTCGTGTTCGACCGTTAAAAGGCTCGTGTTCGGCCCGTTAATTTCGTTCGATAAGTTAACAAGCCGAACACGAATAAAGTAATATTTTAAAAAAATCTGATTGACTACAAGGTTACAAAGATTTATAACCAATTAAAATATTGATTAAGAAAATAAAATAAAATTATTAAATTAGATTCAAATGATGTTTTAATATAAATAATAATTTTTAAATCTTGCTCAAACCCTTATTGTCTTATAGCTACATGATTAGAGTTGTTAAAAGGACTCTTTGTTCGTGAACA